AGAAGATGTTTCATTTTGTATCAGCCTAATGAACAGTAACAATTCATACACAAAAAGAAGGAATTACTGCAGAGTAGCTATGTGTTTACGTCCACCTTGTGCCTTTTGCATTTTAAGAAGGTGTCTGTTTTAAGAAAAATAATCATGAAGATGGAAGCCAGTGCAATTAAATATTGTGGTTTACTCTTACCAGGAATACAGAATGGTTCCAACAACTGACGCGAGTTTATTGTTTTCTTGCTTTTGCTTTGCAAGACCAAAGTCAGCTACAAAAAAAAAGAAAGCAAGGAAAGGTTTATATGTTAATAACTACTCTAACAATTAAATAACTGAAACTTAATGCAGGTTCAGAACAGTGGACAAGCATTTGTTTTTTTGTTTTGGTTTGTTTTTTTGTAATCTTTTAGACCTTGCAGTAATGCCTATCTGCCTATTTCCATATTAATCCATGGCACTTGTTTTAATCAGTCCTGACAGATTTAAAAATATAAACACATATTTAGTGCTTTTAATCCAAACTATATGACCAATTACAGATTTCTATTGATATTTACCAATCATCTATATGACAGTAGTAAAGTATCTAAAAGTAGTGATCTAATACCCAAATTAATGGAAAAAATAATTATATGATTTCAAATTATGATAAATACATGTGAAGCATGGACTTCTTCCAAATTTAGTTTTGAGGAGTATGAGAGGTCGAATATCTGAAAAGTTGATGTTAGAGGGCTGTACTTGTTAAGTAATAATGGAGAATCCTAGTCTTACTTTATGATAAAAACTCTAAATCCAGATTATCATGAAATGATGTTAATATAACTGTTTTTTGTGCACTTATCAGGTTACATCTTTCACATAATTAAGTCACATACATCTTTATAGATCTTTTTTTTCATCTAACCTTCATGCAAACAATTTCAAGTTTCATAGATCAGTGCTGTACAGCTGACTGCAACAATGCAGCTATGATATTGCACTTTACTAAATCCAAAAGCAGAGAGCAAGAGAAAAATCACTGTATACAGTTAAAGATTTGTTAATAAAACATTGCATTTTAATGCCATATTAGAAGTGGTAAGATTTGAGTGGTTTAAAATATTTCAAGGCTCCTTGCCTACATGGATCTAGAGAGTATCCTAACTACTGCTAGGCAAGTAGGAGAGCACCTATTGCAGCATTCTCATCTCAATTGCTTTTAAGGTATGAAGTTTAGTTCAAAATGTGTCTGTTCATCGAAGCAGCTGTGGATCAGAACTAAACACAGGTAAGAAAAATTGGTTTCTGCTGGTTCTTGCTTTGTGTGAGGCTCAAAGGTCTGAAAAGTAGTAGTTGTCTTATTCAAGAAAGGCTTTTGACAAGAAAGCTTAGTCTGGGTACCCTGGCCACAGATCATTTTTTCTTTAGGACTGAAGTTCCTCTTTGTAGTGCTGTATTGCTTTTATTGTTGTAGTTCTTTGAAAGAATGTTAAATTAACAGGATATGTGAAAAGTCTCCCTTTTGCCCTTGAATTAGACTCCTCAGGCAGTTCACCCTAGACAATAACATTCACAATAAGACCGGAGATTTTTTCAATGTTGATACTTTTCTTAATTTGAGTAAATCATTCTAAATTCATTGCTTTTGAATTCTTCATATAACTAATCTTCTAAAAAGAAAGAGTAGTAATGCATAAATTCAGTTCCTGATGCTTGAGAGATTTAGGGATGGATGTCCCTACAGTTCTAGTTACTAGTAAGTTATTCAAGTTCATTTATCTTAAAATATTATTTCAATCTCATCTTTCTTCGAAGGGCAGAGAAACTTGCAGACTTCAACTTTTTATAACGTAAAATATCTTGTGATGTATTTCTCAAGTAAAATTCATAAGTCATCATCATATTTATGATTATTCCAGTCCTAAGAAATTTACCAAGACAGGATTCATAACACACCTTCCTAGACAATCTATATAATTTCTTTGCAGTTTGTTAATATCAATGTTTCTCAAATTCACTATAAGACTTGTCAGTTTTCTGAACTTTGCAAAATTTACACTAGGAACCCTAGCACTGTTCCACACTTAGAACTGTAATTTGTGAAGAAATACATGATTGTGCATTAGGTTATCAATAGTGTCCAGAATGCTAGATTTACTACACGAGATTAAACAAAAGGACGGAAAACTCCACTCAAACTCTTCTGAAAGCTTTGAAAATTAAGTACTATACACACATCCTTGAATCTTTATATCAAGGGTAGTGATCCTGATACTGAAGACTGGTTATATGACCTGCAAAAATAGCACTGTTCTAAGTGACACTGCAAAGTAATGACTAATGCACAACAGGCACTTGTTATATCACTAGACCTCAAGACACCATTTCTATGGGTGGTGTCTGGCACAGAACAAGAAAAGAAGTCTTTTAAAAAGCACACACAACAACCAAGTATTCTAAACTATAGAGTTAACGTGTAGCTTCCCTTCAGAATTTGCCAACTACCTGAACTTTTGGGTCTCCTTTGCTTTACTATTCTGTCACTTTGTGACTGCCTTCTACGATTACAAGCATATCAGAGAGGTGATTTGCCTCATAATAAGTATTCCGCTGCTATATAATAATCCTTGGTTTCAGTTGCATGCACATCCCTTCTCCTGTTAATTGCATTATATTTGCACTAAAACATAAACAGAGCACATGGTCCATGAAATAATATGAAACCCTTCACAAATCTCCTTGATACCAGATCTGGAAGATCTCAAAGCAGTTCTATATAGCCTTCTTTGACCATAAATCCTATCCCTTGTTGGAACTAGAGGACACTGGGGAAAAATGATGTACAGAGTCTTCCGTTTTGCCCTACAAACACATGCAACTATGAAACTTTAGACTTTTAGTATGCTGTGTTAGAAACAAAACACATCTGAAGTAAGATACTATTGCAGTAAAAACAGATACACATAACAACTGCATCTCTACAATCAGAAACAGAGATCACCATTAATATGGCTATGATCAGACTGTAAATGTTTGTTTCCTTTTTGACAATGAGTGACTTAAAAGAGCCTGGAAAAGCTAGAGGCGAGGCAGATTCAGTTCCCACAGGTAAAAGACATCATGAGAAATACAGAAGTATTATAATCAACACATGAAAATGAAGCTGGTTGTTAGCTTCCTGGTCTTAGGGTTTCTGTTAGGATCTTCTTTAAGTTAAAACAAACAAACAAAACCTCAATAAGAATAGTGTCATTCAAGGATTAAAAACAAAAAAGCACTGTGAATACATGGATTCAAAAGCTCTCCCTATTACTACCTCAAGTCTTCTTTTTGCAGGAAAGCCACTGCAAACACGTTCAGAGACCATCTCTACCAATCGTGGAGTTCTCCAGGACACGGAGTCACCTGGCTGCTGGAACCCCTGTGCTGGGCACCGGCCTACCAGCTCTGCTGGAATCGCTCTGCAAGGGCCTCCTCTGCACGCAGCAGCAGTTCCTCCATGACTTCAAGAGCCTAAGCACATTTCTGCAGCAGGTCTAATCTTTTTTCCTGTGCTAATGGCAAGGAAGAAGTATTTCCCCTACTAAACATTCCTTTCCTCTTCAACAGACACAAAATCAGAATCTTTATGAGAGACCTTGATAAGGTTTGGAACAGAAGTGGCTCGGTTCTGCCCACAGTGGGAAACACTGAGGGTCCCAGAACTTTTCTAAAGCACACTGTTGTTGGGCTGCTCCATAGCCACGCTTAATATAGAGTGAAAGTCTATAGAAGCACTTTGCTCCAATTTATTCCTCAGTTTTCTTATTTTAGTCAAAATCTGTGTGAGTCCCAAACCTGGGCCATTGTAGCTCTAATGGGAACAACATATTTGAAGAATTTCAGTTACAGAGCAATAAGCTTAATTGAATTACATTGTCAGAGATTCTCCCCACAAAAGTTTACAAAAGTATTATTTCCAGAATAAACGAGTGAGGAAGGGAAAAAAAAAAAAAAAAAAAGAGAGAAGCATTACACTCATACAAACTTCTAAGCTTTATTCCCCCAAAGCAAAATAATTTGGACTATCATCAGAGATCAAAGACAATTCTTAATTACTCTGTCACACAACACTGCTTCACTGGTAATACCACAACAGTATTACTGCAGTTAGAGATAATTTGTGCACCATTTTGGGATTTGAAAGTCTCCAGAAAAATTGAATTATATCTCTTTATGATGACTGTGCACAGAATTACAGTTCCAAGTCGATTTGTGGAGCAGAACCTTTTATTTTACAAAATTCACTACAGAGCCAAGATTTAAGATTTCTTAGTATTTGAGCAAATTGGGGTGACTGAACACAGAACTACAGTTCTGAGTTGATTTGTGGAGCAGAAGAACAATCTATTTTGAAAAACCTTGCAAAAGGTTAAATTCACTACATAGCCAAGATTTAAGATTTCTTAATTTGGAGGCAGATGCTCTCGTTTTCATCAGACCTTTTATACAAAACTTTGTATGAAACCCCTTGAACTGGTCAAATGGTCGATGATTTGTCAACTTTCTCCTTAAATACTCTAAGATCTCATGCTCAACACTGTAAATGATCCAGTCTTTGGTATGGATTCATTGTATGAATTAAGCATGATACTACAGCTGTGTGTACATGTGTACAGCACATACCAACACAGTAACTACCAGTAGAAGAACAGAAATTATTCTTACTTTCATTAAGGTTGCAGAACAACAAGGCTCACTCAAATTGAGAAGTAATAGATAAAAGATCTTCAACTCCCTCTGAAAATTCCTTAAATTTTACTATGCTAGTACTCTTTAAATTTCTATATAAAATAATTATCTGTTTAAATACCACAACATTGGTTTCTAATCAATGAGTCTAGAAATCGTCAAACCAAGTTTCAGTTCTTCCAGTTTTCCTCAACATCTGTAAACCTTTGATCAAAATACAATACTTTTCAATGACAATTTAGTAAATTTGGCCAGAGGTAAGGCTGATAAAGGTGCTAAATCAAGACAAGACTGCCCCTCTGTGGCTAGGTGTTGGTATAAAATACAACTACACAATAACATTCTGAGTATTAATTTTTACCATTCATGGCCATTAAATCATAATTTTTCAAAAATTTTATTATTGTTATGAATTAGAGCTTTTCAGCTCATATGATTTGATAATGACTTTAAATGTGTGTATCAGCAGGTATAAGTATCTATTTTAAAATGACAGTAGCCAAATACATTGCGTCTATTATAACATAGCGTTTTGTGGCTGAGTGAACATGTATGTCTGCATTTCCCTTTTATTAACAAACATGGAGAGAGGTTACAATCCTCAAACTATTTATTTTGTTCTGTAGCATAAGTAATAATAAAGAATGTAGTAGATGTCTGTGGAAATTAAAAACTATAGTCTCTGAATTGTCTGTTAAGCTTGCTGCATATTCCAGACTGTATTAATTCAAAGAGGATACCAACGTAAAACTTCAGACTACTGCACACAGTAGAGATTATAGAAATATAGGGCAAGGCCATTCACTGCCACAGGATTAAAGACATAGCCCCCCACCTCAACTGAGCACTGAGAACAACTGATGGGTACTTATATTTGCATGGGCAAACTGGATTAGAATGGATACCCATTTTATTTTGTATGTTATTAGCATTTGCTTAGACATGGTACCTAATCTAGTTATCTCCGTATTGTTGATTTAAATATAAGCAGGCCCTGAAGCACTGTGATAGCTTTATTTCTTTTATAGCTAAATCATTTCTTTAGTGATATTTAACACCCTTAGCTGCAAAAAATATAGCTATGGATGATGATCCCTGGTGGCAATGACCCCTAAATTGGCATAATGATTGTTTTACAGAACACTTCAATCATGAAGCAATTCACTTGCTTCCAGGCACAACGGTCAAGGATGCGAGTCTGGCCCCTCCCACGAGTCACATTACAGAGGTTCTCCTCTTTCTTCAAGTAAAGGAGTTCTACTTACTAATTGTAACTTTGTCCTTATCCCCCAGCATGATATTGTTTGGAGTAAGGTCTCGATGAACAATCCTTTTCTCTTTATGCAAATAACGAAGAGCAAGGCAAAGCTTAAAAACAAAAAGAAAGAGCTTTACAAAGATTCTTTACTGCAGCCTAAATAGAGGCAAATCATTTTTTCTTCATATCTTGTATTAGTGACACAATAAGCATTACTTAGTCATTTATTATTCGCCTGAGAAACATAAATGTCACTACTAATTACTTGCAGGAAAGTTTCAATGAAAAAACACCGACCCTTACTTGGATAAATATATTCCATATTCTTTCTTCTGTAAACTGCTGTTGCTTTTCCTTCAAAGAACGGAAGTGTTCTCCCAATGGCACCCCCTCTATGAGCTCCATCACTATATATAGCCTGTCATCTACACAAAAAAAAAGTAGTGTAGAAATAGATTTATACAGAAGATGTAGCTTTTTATTTATTTATTTTATTTAACTCTAGGTCCTATCCTTGTTATTCCATTTTTTTCCTCCATATCCATTTCTATCAAGGCAACTATAAGGAGGTCATTTTCCCACAACTATTCAGTGGGCAGGTGTAGGTAGCTTTCACTTTATTAAAAAGACAACATGACTGAGCAACGTATTTCATTCAATGTACCAGCCTGCTCAGCATTCCAATCATGAATTTTGGATCCATAACTGAGGGCCACATTTCCTATGTGCTTACATTGCATCTATTTTTACTCATGTAGAAATAGCAGTATTTCTCATCCTTTTTTTTTCCCAAATTTAAAACCATATAAGCATGTCTGATCTGTAATAGTTCTCTAAGAAAATATTAGCACTTACTGCTCAAATTAGACACATTCCTTTCCAACTGTAAGCACTTATTACATATTTCTATTTCTTTACTGGGTACAATGTGCTAATTCTCTGCATTTATACTTACTTTCCAAGAAGGTTCTATGATAGCGTACAATATTTTGATGATAAAGCTACAACAAGGAAAGAAATGCAGATGTTCAGGATCGTTAGACTGATGGCACATTATTTATAATGTTTAGTTATGCATTGGAAGGAAGAAAGTAGTTATGATGTAACAACTTTTTTTTAGATTTTTTAATAGTTCTTTGAATTCCAATCAAAAACAAAAGTTCAGAACACTGTTTCTATTACTCAGCATTAAAACTGGCTTGTGCCATTCCATTAGGTACTTAATACTCTTCTATACCAATGGGATTTCTTCCTGCTGTTTGTAAAGCACACAGGTAACAAGAGTTTCACAAAGTTGTCTATGAACTGCAGTGAAAGAGGCCTTTCCCAGCTACCCTTAGCACAAGCAGAAGAAAAACCAGCATGGTTGCTATACACTCTCCTCTTAATAACACAATAGTCTATAGACAGGCAGTTATATCTGCATCCGAGTATCACAATCTACAAAAATAAACCTGTTTTTTTTTGGTTGTTGTTTATTTTTTTGTTTTGTTTTTAATGGATTTCTGATTGTAACAATGACTATTTTCTCACTATATGTTACATCCTAAACTCAGAAATAATTAATTGGAACAGAGACTCATCAGTTTTCAACTGCCATCTTAATTTACTGAAATCTTTTAAAAAAATGTCTGAATACTCCCAGTAAAAAAAAAAAAAAACAACACCTCCAGTAATAAGTATGTGCACTGCTGCTTATATCACAGCAAGCATTATGCAATATTGACATATTTCAGGCACAAGGAGCCAATATTGCACTGATCAGACAAAACCACTAACAGCAGCTGGAAGCCCCATTATATAAGGGCTCACAACAATATTTGCTAACAGTAGGATGCCCATACACAAAACTAGAGCCCGTGGGACATACCTGCTCTTTAATGATAGTTAACTCGGAGACGATGTTCTTTACATTACTGTCTCTGTCTTTTTTATCCTTTCCAAATGCTGGATTGTGTAAATTGACTTCTTTCATTGCTAGAAGATTTTGTCCGTTATGTTTTCTAACCTAAGAAGAAGATAAAAACCCTGTAGAGTTAATATGAGGACAAAAAGAATATTATTACAGATTAGTTCTCTGAGTCCAAACCTCCCTCACAAAAATGAAAATATTTTTTTCTTTTTTTTTTCTATATGTTGATGTGACTAGTTATAAGAGCTGCAGCCCCACCGTAAAGTGAGCAGTAACCTGCTGACGTCTCTGCAGTGTTTCAAGGGACATTATCAGCTCCAAATGTTGGTTTTCAAATTAAACATGTTTCAACTTTTGTGTTTCTACAGAGATTTGTTAAACTTTCTATAAACAGTACTTTCGTCTATTGCAAGTAATTAAAAGAAAGTAAAAGCAGCATTCAGTATACCGATGAGAGGTAATTCAGGCCAATTTTACACCGAGATATCAAAATCACAGTAAATGCTAGAAAAAAAAAAAAAGAAATGCAGAACTGCAAGCAACAAGCCCGGATGCAAAAAAAGAGTTTTTCAACACCTGCATTCCCTTGATGAAATTCAGAGGGAGGTAGTATTTGGAATAGTTATTAGACCCTCTTTGTGAAGCTTCCCGCAAAATGTGCAGTTAATATCAAAAGGGAAGTTTACCTTATATACATTTCCAAAAGCTCCACTGCCAAGGTGTTCTAAAATTGCATAATTGCCTACATGTTTTGTAGGTGTCCTATTCTGATTGATGTTCTCAATGCTTTCAGCAATTTGCTTCAATTCATCATCCTGGTTATAAATTAAATGATAAATATAAAATATTTATGTGCAAAAAATATATCTGCCTGACTCTATGAAACCTTTTACTTACCTTTAATAAATTTAGCTTTGATACCAGCTCTTCATAAGCACTGATATCACGAATATAATGTCCAATATCAATGAAGATTTCAAACAAGTCAGTAGGGAAAAGTCTACAAAGATTTAACATTTTGAGATGTTTTAGAGAAATGCTCACAAGAG